ATTAATAAATGGAATTTCGTATTTTCGTATTCAAGGGAGTTGAAGCAGGAAGAGCTTAGCACGCTGGAGATAAAGGAGGAAACTGCATTTCATATCACAATGAAAGAGAATCTTGAAGTTACTTTGCCCAATACTATTCCTATCGGACCATTCATGGTGAATGTCCGTCCTTTGAAGGTCTTTTTGATGCAGAAAAGGAACGAATGCGCTACAGGATTGCTACTTATGTTCACGGAAAAGTTACGAACGGAAGTGGACGATATATTGAAGGAATATCGGCAAATACGGTACAGATTGAAGGAAGTGCCGCAAAGTATCGAGCACATATTCGAGATACGCGATTGGATGGAGACAATACCACTTCGAGTTGAGAATCTCGAAGAGAGAATGAACAAATTGAAATTAGATTTCGACGTTCTTGATAGTTTCCTTTGGAACATATCGGACGACGATTTCCAGGCGAAATGGGAAGTGATCGGTTCTCCACTTCAAATTGAGAACGAGGTGAAAATCTTCATATAGACTAGAAGATCAGAAAGTTTTCTTTTCTTTTTTTCTTTTTTTTCAATTTCTAAATTTCCTGCGCATTTTCTAATCTTCTTGCGGGAATAAACCGGTGTGAAATGTGTTTATAATACATAATTACTTTGCTCTTATGAAACATCTGATGAATTGCAGTAGATGTCTAATTAAGACTATGTGCAGAGTCAACATAATATTAACTTGAAATATTTCCATGGTGTCTACAATGGTAATATAGTTGAAAATAACAAGGCAATTTAGAACTTAGAATGTAGTAAAATAATACTAGCTTTGCAGAAACGTTGCATTATTTTTAAAAATATATCTATTCTCGTCATTGTAATGATGTTGCAAAACTTTCTATCGTAGACTATGTAGATATATTGTGATTTTTCTTGATTGACATCTTTCCTTTTGAATACATTTCGAAAGTAAATAAAGTAAATACTACGGTACATTTTATTTACTGAAAGAAATTCTTTAACATACAAGATACTATAAGGCTAAATGATAATATAATTTTAAATGCTTATTTGCAACTCTTAACGTGCATTATGTTTTCATACTTCTATAAACAAACAGTTGTCAAATAAACCATCTTAGGATATAGGAGAATATCATTCTAAAATATCCTACAATAATTTATTAGTTTAAAATGAATGCTAACGCTACAGCTATGACCAACTAGTGTTATTTATGTACATATTCTATAAGGAGATTTTTGGAAACATGGTGTATAATGGAAAACTGGTTGATTAAAAATTTATAATTAACTATTCCAAGCATGATAAAAAATTCAATCATTCACTCGAATGAGGAAATAGGATTAAATGTTGAAGATAGAATATTCGGAAGCATCCAACTTATATTGGGAATTTTAAAAATATTTAAATGTGTTGTTACATCTATTTATTTATTATTTAAGAAATCTCCAATATTCCTATCATGCGTTTTTTCAAAACACGGAAGGTTTTCATATTAAATAAAATTTCGGCTCAGTTACTGTTATTACTGTTGTTGTTATTACTACACATATTTACACGATATACAACGATATTTGCTATTCACATATGCACTTATGTACTATATATCTTCCATGCAATACAGTGTACATATGTATATTGCGAATATCTAACGTTCAATATATATTGGCTATCGATTGATATTTCATTTATGATGTGTCACATTATTTCGATGTAAGCTATTCTACATTTTTAATCAAGTGATAGTCTGGAAGAAATTATACTAGATTTCACTAAACTTTACAATGATATAAAAAGTATATTATGTTTAAATGCAATCATGATAGTCTCACTACAATGTATGTCAAAATGTTTTAAATAACGAATGTGTTCATAAGTGTTTTTTTTTTTTTTTTTTT